TCTTTTTGGCTAATAATATCATTCTAACTTCTTTCCAGTATGTAGGACTGATAAAAGAGAATAACGAAGCGTTGAAGATTCTCAATAGGCCTACCTAGTAGGGAAGGGCGATAAACTGAAACATATAGGAAGGATTCCATGAGAATCAACATAAGTTTTCTTTTTTACACATGGATACAGTTTTCATAAACTCGGGGAGAGTTATTTGGGGAATTATTTCGCTCGCGTTATCCCACTCAGGCACGGCTGAATCCGTTTCTGGATGACTGGCTCTTTAAATAATTTTTCATAATGATCCACCGCCATACGCAGCATATCATCCGTTTCATTAAATACTTCACGAGAATCTGACAAAAAAGATTTTAAAGAACAACTTGTTTTAAGGTTTCTCCTCAACTTAGACTAAAAGGCCAACGAACTTGTAAAGCGCGCATCCATCGACTGAACCAATCGCGAATCAAGAAGATTTTCTCTGTTTTGCTTATGTAATTTTTTAACTCTAGCTTTCAAAAGCATATCACCGCTATGTTTAGCTTTCCATGGTAACGCCCCAGCATAAGAAAGCGTCATCCTAACATGAGCTAACTGGAAATCAAGGAAACATAATGTCGATGGCCAGTTCGTCGATTCAAAAAGAATAACAAAAGATTTGCGGTTTTTAACGAATAATAGTAACTTTGAACGAGTAGTGGTAACTAGTAAGGAAAGTGTTGACGTGGACGTGTTTACATGTTAAATAAACAAAAGATATTTTCAAAGTATATACACATTCGTGCTTTACAAGCGCATTTAATACTTCTACATAGCTTTTCAGTTGCGTTAAAAAAAGGAAAAATGATTTCCTGCGTAGGCAGTGTAGTGCTAACACAACGATCTTCCTGCGTTCCTTTCTCTGGTTTTCTACTGATGAGCATTATTTGGCAAGAGTGATTACATTTATTTGTAAAAACAGTAGTGCTACGAGGTTGTAACAGTTTGAAAGAAGATAATAAAGTGACAAATGAACTATTAAAAGTGCTGTTTATGTCTTTGACTTGAATGGAAACACATTAATACCAATTATTTGTACAATTCACCTAGGCGACAAAAGAGCAGAGTGAAAACATATTACATTAAGCAAAGCCATATAACAAAGATGATTTGATTCTATCGGTAGACAGCGATCGTACCGTCCACATTTTTCTCATAGAACCTGAAAGCCTTCTAACTCATCTGGGAGTAGGAATGAAAGGTGAGCCGATCGGCTGAATTAGAAATAGATATAGATCAACACATAGTTGTACTGTGTCTTCATTTTCTTTCCTTTGACGATTGTCTTTAAAATATTTTACATGCAGGATTTGCGCTGTCATTGCACCATTTGCGTGACCGTGGACTCTTCTGAACAATCACAATGAAGTCTATTAGCTCTAGAAATAGCGAAAAACTAATTTCGCCGACTGTCACTTTCATTTTTCTAGGAAACCGAGGTTTAGCTTGGAAGAGCGATAGTGGAGAAAATACTCTTTGTCTGAGAAGTTAGAACAAGCAGAAAGTTCAAAACTTCTCTGAGAGTTCTCAGCCGACGAGAAGTTAAGGTAAAGTAGAGAAATGAAGCTTCAATAAGGTAAGGTAGCGCAGAGAAGTTAAAGTAAGGTAGGGTATCGTAGCGAACCTTTTGTGGTCACCTATGGTAAGACATGCTAAGAGAAGATAGACCCACGTAAATAACGGGAGGAAATGGAAGGTGACGGAATAGCAAGTCTCTCTATTCATGGAGTTTCTTCTGAGAGTTACACAGTATCCCTACTTCATCGTGCTCTGTGCAGTACTCGATATTAAGACGCAAAAACTCATTGAAGCTCTGCAGGGATGGGGTGATGGAGGTGGACTGTGAGAGTGAGTAGTAAAACAATATTCCTCCTGCTGAAGCACTCCGGTGACACAGCGCTGTGCCCAGTTTCTTTGACCGCAGGAACATATCTGTGTTTAGCATGCTCACCTTACCTTACCGTAGGTTATCTTATCGTATCTTACTTGTCTTCTCGCATTCTAGCTTACGTTTCTCAACCATATTGTTGATGTAGTTGAAGTGACTTATTTCTGACTGCTGCGAGAAAAGGTGTATTCTCAGCTCTCGGAGCACGCGTTCAAACTAAACTTTTATCATATATTTTTGATAACAAAATGAGCATCAAGGGTAAATGTTGATTAGTTTGGACGATATAAGAAAAACGATTTTCAGAATCTGCAGTTACTCTTAGAGAAAAAGCGCAGTTTAACAAGAACGCTTAAATAAATCTCTTTTGAAGCAGCACTATCTATCAGCCATCGTCTTTGAGCCTTTTTATAATCTTTGTCTGGAGTTGACTGAGTTATCATTCATTCAATCTCGGGTCACGAGAAAACTCCAGTGTGTATGTAGCGCCATTATTGACGTCGATTTTCCTCGAAACTGTTAATGCATAATAAATTCATGTGTATGTTCTTTAAGAGTTAAGTTTTTACTACAATTTTCTCTCAAGAAGAGGAAAGATCGCTCATATCTCAGTAAATGCAAGACCGTTTGACTTTATGTTTTTAGTGGTCCTGAGTAACGTAGCGATGAGCATTGCAAAAAAATTTAGCTAGATTCATTCTGTAATACAAAGTTCTAAGAATTTTACTTATTCGATTGCGATGGTACAAAGGCAGCGGAATTCAGTAGCGTAGATTGTATCCCTTGAGAGAAATCTTTAAACAGAACAAAAAAGAACGTTACCAACAAAAAACGAAAAGAAAAAATGTTGGACTTAGAGAAAGAAGACGAGGAAATAAATTGAGCCATAAAAATAGATGCAGGAAACTGTGTCAATAGGAGAAAAGCACTGATATTGGCGTTTTAGAAATGAGGAATTGGATCAGTTAACTCTATAAAAGTAGAGGACGGTAGTCCATTAGTAACGTAGAAACCTAGGCAAATTTAAAATTTTTCTAGATTTTAGTTTCTTGTACCACATATATATGATTCGCTCTGTCGCTAAATCATCTACTACACATATGATTGCCTGATTATATTAATCTTCTGAACAACCCTCTGGATGATCGATGCAAAAAAAAGCACAATGAACATTTATTCATAGTATTAATAGAACTAGATTTCTCTGAAATTGTATTAGCCATATCAGGACCGTTCTTTATCAAAAGTAATGAGTTATGATTACTCACTTTTCGTTCTCATACAATATTAATAACGAGCGAGTACACTGTGAGAAAAATCATCAAGATCTATGATATATATACAAAATGTTGTTCGTCACAAATGAGATGAAAGAAATAACAGAGCAAGATGACTTTATTAGTTTTTTCCCATCATGTGTATAATATGACACAATATGCTATAATTCTTCGTCATTCTATATACGAAAAAAACAACTTAAGTTTCCACTGTTTCTGCAAGATGGCTTTCTGGCTTTTATGGTTTTTTTCCATCATTTCTGTAATATGGAAAAATATGCTATAATTCTTTGTCATTCTATATAATAAAAAACAATCCTTTTATGATAAAAATAAAAGAGGATAAAAATATATTTGTGACAAATCGTTGACAATATGTCATATCTACTGTAGAAACTCATTTGATAAAAGTGGATCAAAAAGTGGAACCTTCTCTAAATTGTTTTTCGTGTATAGAATGACGAAGAATTATAGCATATTGAGCATATCCCATCATAACACATGATGGGAAAAAACTAATAAAGTCATCTTGCTCTGTTATTTCTTTCATCTCATTTGTGACGAACAACATTTTGTATATATATCATAGATCTTGATGATTTTTCTCACAGTGTACTCGCTCGTTATTAATATTGTATGAGAACGAAAAGTGAGTAATCATAACTCATTACTTTTGATAAAGAACGGTCCTGATATGGCTAATACAATTTCAGAGAAATCTAGTTCTATTAATACTATGAATAAATGTTCATTGTGCTTTTTTTTGCATCGATCATCCAGAGGGTTGTTCAGAAGATTAATATAATCAGGCAATCATATGTGTAGTAGATGATTTAGCGACAGAGCGAATCATATATATGTGGTACAAGAAACTAAAATCCAGAAAAATTTTAAATTTGCCTAAGTTTTAGTTTGTACTCCCATATGTATATGAAATTGTACATTCGCATACGAATATATGGTTTTCAGCACTAAACCAATAAACCGTATTCAAAAATGATTTCTGCTTCGATATGATTTCCATTAAAGCGCCCTAATGAATTCTTTCTTACGGGCAAACATCACTTATATTTCTGTTATTCTAGCACACGATGATCACAAAAATTAGCTTAGTCACACCGATATTAATAGGTCTTATCTTTTCCTCTGCAAGTAATTCAGTGGATAGTGAAGATGATGCGTTGGATTATCTGAAGCGATTCGGTTACAGTTCGTGCAATGCTTCATCGTCTGTTCAGTGTAGTGAAAATTTTGCTTCGATGCTCATAGAATTTCAACGTTATTTCGGATTGAATATGACCGGTGTTATTGATAAGGAAACACAGGCCATTATGAATCTGCCGCGATGTTCAGTGGTGGATAAGGCAAATGTAAACCTATTGCAGGGACTAAAAAAAAACAGCAATAAAAAATGGTCTCGTCTTTCTCTAACCTATCGTCTTGAATCGAACGTCCATTTCAAGCAAATAATTTATGCCAATCAGATTAGCATCGTGCAGGATGCATTTAACGAATGGTCAAAACACACGCCTTTAACATTTAAAATGGTCTGTAACACATGTTTATCAGATATTGTACTGCAATTTGTCGAAGGCGATCATGGCGATGGTATACCACTTGACGAAAAAACATTAGCACACGCATTCTTGCCACCTGATGGTAGAATCCATTTCGATTCCTAAGACACATGGACAGAATTGTACATAGAGTTAACACGTTATATGGTCGTTGTGTTTACTATTTCTGCCTTTCTGTTTAGGTATAATTCGACATCAAAAACGGTGATCAATTTATTTCTTATCACTATGCATGAAATCGGTCACGCGTTAGGTCTTGAACATGTAAGAGATAAACAGTCGATTATGTACCCGACTTATCAGCTGAAACAACGATCTGACGTACTAACATTCGTTGATCAACAATCAATACAAGCTCTTTATGGAAAAAAAACTGAAGAACACTGTATGTTTTTGTAGTCCTATCCGGATATTTAAAGGAAAAGTTTTTTTTCGTAGTTAGGAGTGATATCCGACACGGGCAGGTATTTGGAAATCCACTCGGAGGTGTACAGTTTAATATAGTCACCGAATCTGTCGCTTTGAATAACAGCCATCGGTTGTACGAAATTAAAGTACAATGTCAGGAAGGTTTACTAGAATCGATGCGGATGTACTACTCGGATCCGCCAGCTGAGACATCGACACATCGCGGTACATTCATTTCATTGTATGATACGGACACTTTTACACTGAACAAAAACGAAGAGATTTCTATCGTTCAAGTGAAAACTGGTACATATCATGGAATGAAACTTATTCTTGGCATTCAGTTTATTACGAACAGTGGAAGGATGAGTCAACAGATGTGTGGAACGAACATTACGGGAACTACATCTACTGAGAAATTTAACGGCTACATATTAAAATACATTAGTGGGCGATCAGGTGATCTCATTGATTCACTTCAATTTCATTGGCGGCAAGAAAACTCTGACATTGGTAAGGAAACTAGAGTCGGATCATCTGTATTGGTGCTGATTTGGCATGTCACCTTTTAGCTCCACCACCAACAACAAAGAATCAAACAACTGGTAAGTTATCTCTTCTTAAAATAAGCGGAAATAGAGAGAATAACACTATGTACGGTTATCACAGTGAAAAATCCTGCGACGTGTAATGAAAAAACTCCTTTGTGGTGTATGTGAATAAAAGCCTTGAAAAGTAGGTGTGCTAAAAACCCTGTCAGATATAGCCAATAACCGGATAAATTTTGTAAAATTTTGTTTGTCAGTGCAAGATTCCGAAAGTTTTTGCAGTGGATTGTACGACAGGGTTTTATTTGACACTATCTTTCCAAATAATAGGAAGATATTTAATCCGCATTAAGATTGTTCAAACATCACTTCAATTTCATCTTATTGATCCCCCGTAGTAGAAATGCACACGGATACCAATTTCCTACTCGTACCCGACCCGAAAACTTTTCTCCTTTTTTTTCTGTTTTCCAACTAAAAACGTTTGTTTTTCGGCTGCAGATGTCAAGTTATCATTACGTTGTCACGTAGCTCTTTTATGTACTTGAGCTGAAATGTTGTATTTTGTCACTAAAATTTTGTGGTTTCCCACTAAAACCTTTCGATGTTCGGGTAAATTAAAAAAACGGAATCCGTATCGAACAGCTTCGTCCCCATACCCGGCCTTCGGGTAGGTTTGCATTTCTCTACCCCGTAGTCGTACATACGACATTCTTCTGTTACATTCACTAGTCAGTCCATGGAGATATTTAAACTAGAATTCACGTAAAGAGACGATGATAACTTAGTACTCTAATTGAAATCAAGCACAAGCCTCTATACTACTGTAGTTTTGTCAGTTTTTCAATGCAAATATTAACCTTCAGCTCTTCTATTAGATAGTTATAACGTATACTTTGCTTAGCTCGATTGCGCAGAAAATCTCACGATTACTCTGCTCTTTCTATCAGAATAGAAATTGTCTTGCATGATGTCACCCGGGAAAAGAATTTAGAAATCTTTTATTATTAATACTAGAATACTAACTTTACGCTGATAAACGTCATCTTGCACCAAAACAAACTTATGCTAATGTAAAGATCAATTTTACGTGCATGTAAATTTGGCCTATACACAGCTTATGAATTAGCTACTGCAATCCTAAGGAAGCATAAAATAGATTTTTGAATTCGAAACGAATCCTTAAAACCTTTTTTAGTCTTCGAAAGAACGAACTTTCAAATCGAGCCTTTCCTGTTCGACAAACAAAAAGTTTCGTATGAGACAAGTTTTGTACAAATACGATAAGCACGTTTCGTACGAACTGATTTCCACATAAATCCTCTTTTTATGTAATTGAACAAAAGTTTCAGTGACAAACAAGTTTCGCACAAATTCAATAAGTAGGCGCTACACGCTATTCATCTAGATGGTTTTATAAGTCTCATTTTTTAGTCAACCAGAAATGAAGCATACATTTACATAAGTAGGCAGAACATTTAAAAGGTTTCTGGACTGATTTTATTTAAGGGCCCCTCGGGTCAGAAACCTATCTCAGCCCAGGTAGGTCTGATCTGAGCCAAACTTTCAGAGAATGTTTATCATGTCAAAGTGTGGTAACCACATTTCTTTTTTTCATTTTTAAATCCACATTTCTATAAAAAATGGAAGCATGATTTAAAAATCGGACTCTGTCAACTCCTACCTACATGTGTTATCTACAAATCAAAAAAAATTTCTTTCTTCGATGTACGGTTACCGAGAATTCCTGCAGGTGGCGAAAGCCCTGAAGTTCAAAGACAGTCTTGAGAAAAACGCAAAATAGGTTTTGATTCTGTTAAATGCGTTTTACTTGAAAACTATTTGAGCGTTGAATAATTTGTTAATGGTTTTCTAGAGGTTATCGACCATGATGATTCCGAATATAATTATGGGAGCTGTCCATGGTCGTTCGAAGATACGAAACCCGTTTTCCAGAAACTCTAAAGAATAACCAAAACTTTTCTTAATGAGGCATAATTGTAGCCGGTAAATTTCTGGTTGAAATGAGACATCTCTCAGCTTTACACGATCTTTCTTTGCAAAGTTATAGAATTTACGAGAAAAGCCATAAATGCTCGGAGCTACAGAAAAAAGAAATTCATTTAGGGCTTTTCTCGTAAATTCTATAACTTTGCCAAGAAAGGTCATGTAGAGTTGGGAGATGTTTCATTTTAACCAGAAATTTACCGGCTATAATTATGTTTCATTAAGAAAGGTTTTGATTATTTTTTAGAGTTTCTTAAAAACTGGTTTCCACAAAACCGTGTCTTCAAACGATCGTGGGCTCCCATAATCATATTCGGAATCAGCATGGTCGATAACCTATAACACACTCGATTTCGATCAAAAAGCAATTTATAGCCTCGAGAGGTTCCCTCGCACAGTGGGCATCCAGGCGGACATTAGGCGAAAAACTAAAGTCGCTCTTTTTTCAAATATGACTAGTGCAAAATGTAGCTCTTTCAATTCTCTATCGAATGGTGTATGGATGTCCGTTTCGATGTCGACTCGTTCGAGGAGAAAAAAGGACTCGAAAATGCATGGTGAAAGCCCAAAATAGCGACATGTATACACTAAAACACGATTATCTTTGTCCACATGAATGTTTTATTCTTGGAAAGCACATATTTGGAATCAGTAGACGCTCAGCTATCTATCGATATAAATAGAAAGGTATTTCGAAATAGTTTTCCTTATAAATACCACATAAACTTCTCATAACATCTAGTTGACATGAGACCACCTCGGTACAATTACAACGCACTAAGTAGCACCACTCAAAACTGATATCTAAACACATCAGAATGTTCCTCAGACTCTACTGTATATATGCTGATCTCGGCAAATATCGGCAACCTTCCAGAAATATTCTATGGATTTTCAAAAACCCGTACGGTTTTCGCAGTATTTCGAGGTTTTCTTTTTCCAGAGACCGGATTTCTGGAAAACTCCTTAGAAAACTTTTGCAAAACCCAACTCTCATGCCATTAGAAAGAGGATCATGAAAAACCTATAAAAAAATGGTTCATGAAATTTTAGTTCACTCATAAAGCTAAAGTCCGCCTGCTCTAGCAAAAAATGCCCACTGTGCCTCGTGACTACACTTTGTAACTGAAACGTTAACTATACATTTTCGTAATAAATAATCAATCAGGAAGAGAAATCAAAACTCTAACCTGAGAGAAAATATTAGTAATGCTTAAAAAAATCAGAATGAGTTACACTTAGAAGCTGATGTTGTCTTTTTCGAGGTATCCTTTCTTCGTTGCAATAAATTTTTGCCAACATTCTCGAAACGTCTGCACATCTGCTGTAAACTCATCTTTAGACACCCGATTAAGACACTGATGGATTGCTGAATATAATCAACTTCGATCGTTGATTTCAGCTTTTTATTTAAAGAAATCGAAATGAAAAAGAAAAGAAGACCAATCAGACGAAATCGCCGTCCTAAAGACTACATTGTATCCCTTGAGAGGAATCTTTAAAAAACAGAACAAAAAAGAACATTACCAACAAAAAACGAAAAGAAAAAACGTTGGACTTAGAGAAAGAAGACGAGAAAATAAATTGAGCCATAAAAATACATGCAGGAAACTGTGTCAATAGGAGAAAAGCACTGATATTGGCGTTTTAGAAATGAGGAATTGGATCCGTTAACTCTATAAAAGTAGAGGACGTAGTCCATTAGAAACGTTTACTGGCAGTAATAAAATCACACACAGACGGACACACGGAAATCAAAAGACTGTGGGATAAATGGTAGAAGGGTACCAGTATCAAGACTGAGACCTAGATTTCCCACCTTAGCAGCCAGAATTGCTGGAGCTCGATCGTACTTTGAAAATTCCAAGAGATAGCGATTTGGATTTTCAACAGCCTTTATTGATGGAGACAGAGGGAAACAGCTTTCGCAGAAATTTTTAGAAACAAGTTTATGTTGTTTGAGATAGAAGCTAAGCGCGAAGAAATCTACTCTTAAACGGTAAAATAGTGAGTGCATCAGCTCGAGCGATGTAATGTGCATGGTAATTTGTTGATAGGTGGAAGTACAAATTAGAATAATTTCTAAATAAATAAAATTTGAAAATATTTTTGTGTAGTCAGTGAGTATATTTCACTGGTATGCTTAACTAGAGATTGAATAAACATTCGTATGACCAGTCAAATGCTAAACGATTCAGATTCTGTTTGAGAGGTTACAACATGAGAATGTCACGACAGATTAGCGGCGAGCAAGAGGCCTAGGTGTTTATGAAGAGTAACTTCGCGAAGAGTTTGTTCTGAATTAATAACCGTGAATGGTATAGATTTAATGTTATTGCACGTTTATGAAATAACTTGGTCCACACACTTTCCAAAATTTCGAGTTACTTGCCATGTTGAGCACCAGTGCAATCGTTCTAGTACTTTCCATTGATATAATTTTTTTAAGTTGCAAACCTAAAAATCAGTGGCCGCTAGATCTGACAGGAAGGTGTATGAGAAAGCAATTCGTATTTTAAATCGTCGATAGGAGAAGAAACAGCATGTGATGACCTAGAATGGCGAAATAATGTTCGACTTTTCACACTGCATTATGTACTGTTCTCATCAATTAGTTCAGTTAGAATGAGATATTCGTTGATTTTCTTTGTCTAGGCTTAATTAAAGTGTTTAACGCATCTGGTAATGCAGTCAAATGCCTTGATGTGCCGTATGGGATAGGTAACAATCACGTTGGTATTCAATTATTTCGATGTCATGGTGAAGGGAATCAACAATTTACATTGCACGATAATGGCCAAATATCTGTTCTTGGTAAATGTCTTGATGTTCCAGACAGTAGTTCTGTTGATCTCGTTCAGATCCAATTATTTGATTGTCATAATCGAGCAAATCAACATTTTACAATTGATGACCAAAATCGTATTCGTATTTTTGACAAATGTTTGGATGTTCCTCGTGCTGATATTATTGATCGTAATATAATACAATTATTTCGATGTCATAATGGAAGTAATCAAAATTTTACGTTTGTACCAATTGATTAACATCGATCATGTTTTATGGACAATCGATTGTTGTTTCTCTTTTTTTGTCATAAGAAAACATTTGAAAGAAATATAATTAAAATTTGGATTGCTTGTTTTGAGTCCTTTGATAATTGCAACTCCATGCGTTTTGAATATTTTTACATTAATCGATAGAAAAAAGTCTCATGAATCTGACACTAAAAAGTTATCAAACTTGATCGGACAATCAAACAGTTACGTTTTTTTGAACACGGATGTACCGCTTTTAAACTATGGGAGCTCAAACTTTTATTCTTTTTGCTTACATTAAACATCGTATTTAATAAGAAAATTTCGCTTGTTCTGTGCTTTTATTTAGTACATCCTCATCCAAAACACACGCTTTTTTCGTGACTTTTAGCAAAAAATGTTTTTTCTGCTATCCAAAGTATGGAGTCGATAGATAGTTCTGAGACAAAATTTACTCGAGTGAAGTGTGCACTCTCATCGTAGAGCAGATTGAGTTACAAATGTGAACTACGACTGAACTGTATTCGCGATTAATGCGAGTTTTTTGGATGGTATACTGTGTGATTGTTTCGAAAAAGACTGATCGTGTGAGGGTGAGCCGAGTAACTATGATCGGTTTCATCTCAGCGCTGAAAACGTTGACAGTGAGAGAAAGGAAAGAATGTAAGTGTGAGGTTGCTGAAGAAATAGAAGGATGAAATAGAAAAGAAAAATGCAGGATGACCTGAAATAGTGAGAGAAAATACGAGCATTACATGTCTATACCAGTATGAAGATATGTTGCTCTATGATCTCTGAAATTCTCTGAATGTACAAGAGTTGTTCGAGCAACCTTCGTTCTATTTTCTAGCCGATAATGCTAGCATAGGTTCAATATTAATGCAGCAGCATGACATACTTGACATGACAGCGAGAAAAATAAGATAAAACATCAAGGTATTCCAAGCATGTTTTATTTTATCTTATTTTTCTCGCTGTCATGTCATCAGGATCGGGCACTGGAAGAAAAATATCTACAGGATCAGGATGAAACCTACGGGACGCGATAGGGATTGGAGAAAGATTTTTTCGGGATCGGAATAGGAATAGGGTTTTACTCTACGGGACGGGTTCGGGATGAAAAACCTCAATCCCACAGGGCTCTAGCCTTGCCACTTGCTATAAAACCGAGCCATGTATCTGATTGATATTTATCTGCAATCTTCGATATCCAAAACGAGAGGTTGAAAGTTTAATCCAAGACACTATGAAACATCATAATGATGGTCACACCAACAACTCCTCACAAACTAACAAGAAAGACGATACAAAATTTACTCTTTCTCTCCCTTACGTACCAGGTATCGAAGTACTGAAGCGCAAGTTAGAAAAACTAAAAATTAAACTATTTTTCTCCTACCCAAAACTAGTGCTCCTACCCAGAGCGTCACATTCAAAAAGAAACTATTTGAATCGAAAAGACCAGCACTGGCTGATAGCACGAGGCAAGACGGTGATAATGCTAGTGATAGCATTCAGACGACGAAGAAAATTAATTGATTTTCGTATTACGGTATTTTCGTCCGTACCGTTCGTTATTTAAGAAAGAAAAGAAAAAAGAGAGCAATACATCTTCGAACTAATGAATGTAGTGTGTTCATTTAACCTGTGTTTTGTTCTGAAGAAGCTCACTTTGTGACTGGAACGTTAACTATATATTTTCGTAATAAATAATAAAGAGACATCAAAACTCTAAACTGAGAGAAAATATTTGTAATGCATGTCTATAGCTAGTATGAAGGCATGTTGCATAATAAAAAAGTAAAAATAGTTTAGTTCGCCACGAATGCGGATTTTCTATGATCTCTGAAATTCTCTGCATGCACAAGAGTTATTCGAGCAACCTTCGTTTCTAAGTTCTAGCCGTTCGTTTCGATTTAAGAGGAGTAAATTAATTTACATCAGTTTCGGAAGTTAAAGTGACTTAAACTTGATTTCTAGCCTAAAATTAGCTCTAATTAGTTTGAAAAACACTAATTCAAATAGTTGGATGATATATAGTACTCCTCTATTTCATTGATTTTCCTCAAAACAAAGTGAAGTAGGAATTTCATTGAATATAAGACGCCCGTAATTCAAATTTAGAGCAAAATTTGTTTGTGACTTAATCATATGTATTCTGATTGGTCTCGTCGAGGTGATCACGAATATCACCTTTTAATAGCACGTTAGCCCACTTGGTTCGCTTTTGAAAGCTTCTCTCAAGTCCTCGTTTTCAAGCAGCCGCACCGCAGATCAAAAACGCTCATCGTTCAATAGCAAAACCTTTCCTTTATCTCTCTCTTCTTTGCCATTTCATGCATCTATCTATTCAACGACCACATCTGTCTAATGCTCTTTCCCTTTCTCAATGTCGATAAACATATTTCACTATCCAAATAATTAGACTAATAGTTTAAACAGCATACGCTTTATTTGTGTCACATTGAAACAACAAACATTAGCTGCATAACACAAAACCACAACACCTCATAAGTTAGAGAACACCACTTTTCGCACTTTTTAAAGAATGTATGACATCGTAAACACGTTTTCCATCTTGCTTAGCACTCGACACAACTTCATCTTTTTTCATCAAGAACTCTTATTTGTTCACGAGAAGTCCAGCTTTTTTCATCAAGAACTTGCTGTTCCTCCACGAGGACTTCATCCGTTTTCCTCAAGAACTTAATGTTTCTTCACCAGAACTTCATCTTTTCCTCAAGAACTCGATGTTTGTTCACGATCAGTTCATCTTTGTTCATCAAGAACTCGTATCTGTTCACGAGCAGTCCATCTTTTTTCCTCAAGAACGTGGTGTTTCTTCATGGCAACTTCATCTGTTTTCCTCAAGAACTTGCTGTTCATTCAGGAAGACTTCATCTTTTGTTCTCAAGAACTAAGTGTTTCTTCACGAGAACTTCATCTTTTCTCCCCAAGAACTTGTTCTTCATTCAGGAAGCTTCATCGTTTTTCAACAAGAACTTGCTGTTCTTCCACGAGGACTTCATCTGTTTTCCTCAAGAACTTGGTGTTTCTTCACGAGAACTTCATCTGTTTTCCTGAAGAACTGGATGTTTGTTCACGGAAACTTCATCTTTTCTCTTCACCTACAACATTTCTTCGCGATCCGAATGAGTTTTTTGATTGTTCATGATGGAGATGAAGAATAATTAATTGCGAAATAAAAGTAATAATAAGTAACAGATAAGTAATAAATGCTAGTGATGATTAATAATGATTGATAGTGGATGTTGGAGATCTAAATAAAAGAATTTATTATTGTGCAGTGGACTGCACTCGTAGCAGGGACCTTATAGGTTTTTTACTAATCAGCGTGTTCGTTAGGTTCTCGGACAATCTAGTGGCGAAGATGGGGTGGACATCTGCCAGTGGCGTATCCTCAAATGCGTCAACCCATAATTGATAGAGTTTCGCTCTGAAATTCGCCAACGTTGGAACAAATGTAAAATGAATTGATAAATCGTTTTTAGGGTGTACTGTCTTTTTACTATGTTTGTTGGGGCGGTTCCAGTTGACTTCCCGAACTTTTGCCCTGCAATATTCATATTTTACTTGTGTTTCATAAATGGATTCTAAATTTTGCAATCTCATATCTTTCACTAATCGATCAATGTTTTCATTAATATATTTACCTGGGTATTGGTTCAACAGTAAGCTCATCCGTATCTCAAATATCTCTTTTTTCAGGTCACGTACATCTGAACAAATTCTAATGGCTCTAAGAGTCATTGCACGAAAGCGCGACCTAGCGTGCTCAATTTTTTTTTAAAATTTAATTCTGATTTCGCCAGTTTGTAGCCCTACTAAAGTTGAGTATATTCTGAAATTTGTAGCTTTAGCGAATTTTTCGATCCAAGGGGGGTGAGGGTGGTCAATGGTTGACCATGATGCTAAGAAAGATGTAGTTTTGTAGAACTAATTTCGGGCTACAAAATAGCTTTCTTTAGTTTTTTCTAAACACACAAGAGAAAAACATGTTTTTTCACGAGAACTTCTTCTGTTTTCACCAAGTACCTGGTGTCTCTTCACGACAACTTCGTCCTTTTTCCACAACAACTTGCTGTTCCTCCACGAGAACTTCATCTTTATTCGTCAAGAACTTGCTGTTTCTCGAGGACTTCATCCTTTTTCAACAAGAACTGGCTGCTCCTCCACGAGGCCTTCATCCGTTTTCCACAGGAACTTGCTCTTCCTCTACGAGAACTTCATCTTTATTCATCGAGAACTTGCTGTTTCTTCACGAGAATATCATCAGTTAGTAGTTCGTATTCCCGCACGAGGACTTCATCAATTTTTCACAAGAACCGCGCCGTCACGATTTTTCTGGTTTTTCTTTGATTAATACAGATTAACTAGAGTAGTTTCGAACTTGACAAGCTATCACATCTTTTAGAGCAAACAATTTTCTACAAACTGGTAACTTCGCACACTACCTTGCAATAATGTTTCCAAAAAGGGCAAAACATGGAAGCCGTTAGCTGGACACGCCGTGAAGTTTTTCCACAAGAACTTGCTGTTCTTCAACAGGATTTCATCTTCTTTCCTCAAGAAATAGGTGTTTCTTCACGACAACTTCATCTGTTTTTATCGAGCACTTGGTGTTTTTTCAGGAGAACTTCATCTGTTTTCATCAAGTAATTGATGTTCACCAAAACTTCTTCTTTGTTCCACAAGAACTCTTGCGTCATGAAGACTTCATCTTTTTTCCTCAAGAACTTCATGTTTCTTCACGAGAACTTCATGTTTTTGCCTCACGAACTTGGTGTTTGTTCACCAGAACTTCATCGTTTTTGCACAAGAACTTGCCGTAACTTTGCCGGGACTTCATAGTTCTTCGTCAAGAACTTGCTGTTCTTTCACGAGAAATTCATTTTCTCTTCAAGAACAACAGAATGACTTAATCAATAGTTTTACTTTACAAATTCAATTTTCAAGATAATACTCCTTGTTTTGCAAAGTGCGTTACAATTCAAATATGCAAGATACAAATTTTTTGAAATTAAAAATATGGAAAATTCAGTTACAAAAGCATCGTCTATCTTGTTGACTCAATAAAGAATTTTATCAACAATGGAAGTAAAACGATGTCATACGTTGAGCTTGAGGGTGATTGTTTTATGAGCTACTCAATGACTGCTACTTTAATGAGATATACCACAATTCCTAGAAGTAAAATTGTCGTCTAAGAACTGATCATGGCATAAGATATATCAAATCTGAATGTGATTGATAGATCAAGATAAAACAATATGAATTAAACAATAGTTCGATGGATAGACTCGAATGTTCTCGTTGGGCATCTTTTTGGACAGAATACACGACAAAAAAACTACAGAACAGAAAGAAAGAAAATATTTTTTCGACACAATATAACATGAATATTAAAGAAAAATTGAATGACAGAGTATTTCGAATGAAAAAAGACACGTTGGAATTTTCCAACATGTATTGTATTCATTCGTAAAGAAACATGAAATTAATTCAAACGGAGAATTTGTGAGTCGATGCACTACTCCAAAATCTACGTCTAAAACATAGGTCAATTCAATGCTCTACACACTCGTTTTTATTCTACTACGTTTATTAATTTACATTTTCATAAACCCACCTACATTGGTCATTACTCTGATAGCCTGTGTTCTTGTCATCATCATTCTACGCCGTAGTCATCAACCTATCATTCGAAATCGTGATCGTCTGGATCTTCTTTGGTTGAAGCAATCCTTGTCCTGCCGCGAAATTATTCGTCTAATTTGGTTCGATACACAAGCTGATGACGAAATTGAACGTTGCTTGCGTGAAATCGATTCCAATTTGATCATAATCCATAATCGAAATGATTGTATAGACGCTGTGAGACGTATATATTATGACCAGTACAAAACAGTATTTCTCATTATTGCTGGTTCTGAAGCAGCATCTTTACTTCCAATTATTATTAATGATGTCCATTCTGTGTTTATTTTCTGTTTGAATATGAATACATATGCAAATTTAAAATTGGATTTTTCGAAAGTGAAGAAGATTACTGACAATATATCCACTCTAGTTGATAGCATTCGCCAAATTTATGAGTCTCTCCAACGTCGATACGCATATGTACATGACCAAAAGACAATACGCAATTTATCACGAGAAACAGCTAGTTTCATTTGGTTTCAGCTTTTTCGGAATGTTGTTCAAGCATTGGAAAAAACTGCTGATGCTAAGACGATTATGTTGGCTCGCTTTCGTGAATATTACCACGATAATGCTGATCAACTTCGTAAAATTGATGAATTTGAAAACCTGTACGATCCCGAGCACATTCTTTGGTGGTATTCATTGCCTGCCTATATCTCGGACATCATCAACAAAGCATTGCGTGCATTGGATATCAGCGCTCTATACGATCTTCGATATTGCATTATTGATCTTTGCCAAGCCTTAGATGAAGCTCGTGAAAATCGACCTGTTTCTTTCACCGTCTACCGGGGTGTTCTTTTGCCTAGGGTAGTTTTTGAAGAGACTCGTCATCATATGGAAAGAGGCGAGCTCATTTCTCATTGTGGCTTCTTGTCAACCTCTTCGGACCGTGAAGTAGCAATACAATTTGGCATGAATGATGAAGGGCGCGAGGATTTGGTTGAAATTCTTTATGAAATTGAAGTGCCACCGAATTTGAATAACGTTGTCTGTGCTGACATTAGCCGTTTCAGTTCAATTTCGAATGAAGAGGAAATTCTTTTCGATCTCGACTCAACATTTGAATTGGTTGATGTCATAGCCGTTCAAGAGTCCAAAAACGAGAGATATGTGATATCATTGCGAGCGAGCGATCGCGGTAGTGAACTTGCTCGAAAGTATATTGATGAAAACAATCGGGAAATGCGCGATCTCACGGAAGATATACTATTTGGCAAATTACTTGCAGATATGGGAGATTCTGTGCAATCGGAGCTTTACTTTCGTTTGATGGAACGTGACAGAGGATCTAAAATGATTAGAGAAAAACGCTCCGTTCTCATAACCAATATTGGACGAGCTCTAGTGTTGAGAGGCGATTATGATCGAGCACTTTTCGAATACGATCGCGCTCTAGACCTACAGTTGGAAGAGCCTCCGCTCAAATTCTTAATCGCTTGTAATATTGTCAACAAAAGTATTGTTCAAATGTCTCAAGGATATTTTGAACAGGCCTATAAAGCCATACAGAATTCATTACCCACGTTCTTTGATTTCGGTGAATTACGCTTTGTAGGCGTTACACTTCTCAACATGGGCATGATGGTTCATCAACAAGGTCGATATGAAGAAGCACTTGATCTATTGGATAACGCACTTGAAGCGATGAAAGAGGGCGATCTAAATGATGATCATGATATGATAGCGGAAGTGATTCTTAATATTGGCAAAGCAAAACAGGGCATGGGCAAATTGTCTCAAGCGATGGCTGACTTTGATAAATCGCTTGCAATACGTAAACGTTTCTTACCTGCAAATCATTTTGACATTGGTCGAACGTACTTATGTATGGGCATTGTCAAATGGAAACAAAACGAAACTGAAACTGCTGTAGAACTTCTTCAACGAGCGTTACCTTTTTACGAGAAAAACTTTCCCGAAGGACACTCTGATCGTACTTATGCGAAAAGAGCAATAGCTAACGTGTATGTAGATCAACAAATGTATGATTTAGCACTGGAGTTATACAAAGAATGTCTTATCGACTGTCGACACTTTTATCGAGACAAACATAGTACCGAGGGCAGTATTTTGAATAATATTGGTCAGGTGTATTCATTATTGGGCAATACTTCACTAGCTCTTGAATATTTACAAGATGCTCTTCGAATACATGAAACGACGCTTCATCCAAATCATCCTGACACGGCCTCTATTTGTTTGAATCTGACTTTGATCATCAGTGGAAATAAATTCGATGGTGATTTGACATTAGCTCTTAATTACGCTAAACGTGCTCTCGAAATTCGTCGAGCCACTCTATCGAGTGATAACATTTTATTGAGTCAAACTGAAGAATATGTTCGTATACTCGCTAGATTCGAAGCTCGAAAATACTACTTCGGACACATAGGACCAGATCCAGATAATCCACGTATTTCTTAAATTTAGCAATTGAGAGTTGCCGACCATCTATCACTCACGAGCTGAATGGCAGAGTGTTTCGAACGAAAAAAAAGACACGTTGGACTTTTCCACCATGTATTGTATTCATTCGTAAAGAAACATGAAATTAATTCAAACGGAGAATTTGTGAGCCGATGCACTACTCCAAAATCTACATCTAAAACATAGGTCAATTCAATGCTCTACATACTCGTGTTTATTCTACTCTGTTTATTAATTTATATTTTCACAATTCTATTCTTGTCGTCATCATTCTACGGCATAGTCACCAACTTATCATTATTGAAATTATGTGTTACTGACTCTGTTTGATGACAGGTAATCATATCATATGTGCGCGTCGGTGTTATGTCTTCTATGTTCTGTCGTTTTTTGTTCTTAGCTAATATATAATTGCTCTGTTCACTTACTGTCGGTCAGTTCGTATCAGGCTCCAACGCCGTCCGCACGTTGGAGATAGCCTATGTATGATGTGTTTTTGAGGTTCTTAGAGCTCAGGTTTGATACATAGTATTCATCAATCTATCATTATTCAAATTATGTGAATTAAGGGAATTGTATCGCCATTGTACCGTTTGAGAAAAAAAACACAATAATAAAAAGTTTCAAATAAACAAAATCGGAGTTGTACGTTTGATAGAGCTATGTCGATTGTGTATAAACATAATATTTTTCCGGCACTTTAGAGTTTGATAAGGTTCCGATCAGAGGTGGGCAAGTCCGAGTCCGGACTTGGACTTAAGTCCGGACTTGAAGCCTTTTTTGACGGACTTGGACTTGACTTGGACTTAAGCTACAGTGGACTTGGACTGGACTTGGACTTGAGATTATTTTTCAAGTCCATTTGTATCTATCTTATTCAAGATGAGGCAGTTTAATCTTAAAACTTAGTCTCTTTTTGTCAAAGATGTATTGAATATACAATAATGACTAAAGTTGGTCATAGATGAATATGGCAATCGTCTAATTAGAATACAGAATTCTTTTTGCTGTTGTGGACTAATATTGACTAGCAGACTAATAACTAACAATAGAGAGATATAACAGAACAGTTATACACCAACATATATATCTATATATATAATACATTCGAGTATTGTTTCATTTATAAACTTAACACTTTACAAATACGTTTTCAGTACAAAAATTTTCTCTTTGAAACTGAAATTCGACTTGTGTTACAAAAATTCTATCAGACATGGACTTTGGCTTTCAACTCACACAGTCGACAGTGGTTTTTGCCGACACAAGAGAGTAGGCTGATTGGCCGGTATGATGATGGGTCTTTGTCTGGCTTATGAATGAGAATGATGTGAGCGAGTTTCCAGGCTGACGGGACGTAGCCCAGTGCGAAGCTAGTGTTGTAGAGGACTAGAAGATGAGAAACGAGAAGTTTTGTGTATCTTTTGAGGCATTTGTTGTGGACGCCATCGTGACCAACCGTGGTGTTTCCGAGATTGTCGAGGATTAATTTCAGTTCTTTGGCGGATATGCGACGAAAATTGTGTTTTCCGTCGTGTCGATTGCCTTCGATCAGGGATTCCACTGCCTCATCCGTATCAAAGTGTTCCGGGATGGTGTGTTGTTGGCGTTCGTAAATCGTTTCGAAATATCGCCGAAAAAGCTCGACTTTTTCGTCGTCAAATCGGGCCGTTTCGCCACACAGTTTCAACTCGTATTTGATTTCTCTCGAGACTCGCTTGCCTTGGAACCGATTGACCGTCGCCCACAAGCGCTGGCTGTTCATCTTCGGCGCGGAGAGAGTGCTGAGTAGTTTCTTAAACGAGCTAGTCGAGTCGTTTGACAGGGAGTTTCTCACCAGTAGTCGGCTTCTATTGAATTCGGCTCGGATGGACTTGTTTTCTTTATCCTTGGCCATTCGCCTATAAAGTCGATGTTTTTCTTTGATTAATCGAAGCGTCACTGCTGAGGGTCTAATCTGTTGTGGTCGCTTGCAGTGATCCGGAGTTGGTACAGCTATTTCTGTCGCTTCAACGATGCATTTTGTGATGAACTGGTTATAATCGATGAGTTCGTTGAAGGATTCGACTTCCTTGGCTGGTCTCTGTCGTAGTCTTTGATTTAAGACGGATGAGTAGAGCTTCCAATTTGCTTTGGTGAACACGAATTGCGGACGAGCGCATTCGGATTCTCTTCCGTCGGGCTCGAGAAACAATTCGAAAGTGAGGAGTGAGTGTCCGCTTTGCGTTTCTCCTAGTTGCGGGTGGACTGTATAGCTGTCTGTGAGTAGTGCCGTTTGTGTGTCACCTAACACCCAATCGAGCTTCTCGTGGTAATTTTCCTTTTCGAATGTTGGAAGTGCGTCGCCGATTATCTCCACGTGGTTATCAAGAATCCATTCGTCAAGAACTCGTCCGCTTTTATTCGTTGATCGGCATCCGAGCTCGGCGTGCTTTGCGTTGAGGTCCCCGAGAATCAAATGCCGGTGGTGTAGGCTGGCGATCTTGTCTAGAGCTTTCTTCGATAGAGGTAGCTGCGGCGGACAATACATACTTGCCAGTAGGAGCCGATCGTTGTTTTTCAACTTGAGCTCGACAATGACTATCTCATTCTGTTCGATGATTCAGGAGTACGTGGTTTGACTGTAAAGAATTGCGGAGTGCTAGTATTACTCCACCGCCTGCTTTGTGTGGTCGATCGTGTCTGTAGAGGGTGTAGCCTGGGAAGGAGAGGTGCGTTGATGAAGAAGGGAGTCGGGTTTCATTCAGTGCGAAAATATCAACATCGGGAAAGGTAGTAAGCAGTTCATGCTTATATTTAAGGATGGTGTTGATGTTGTAATGGCATATTTTCATGATTAATTCCGGGTAGGGGAAGGATGTACGAGGATAATGCGACGTTGATTGTTGTGTGATGGCGTGGGGCACTAATGTTGTTCGAGATCCATCGTCGTGTCAGTTGTGTTTGTTGTTGCCTGCGGAGCTCGCGAGATATCAGCTGGAGTCCCTGCGACAGAAGGAGAGGGGTTCGAGTTCTGTTTTTTCGTTGTTTGGCTTGGAGTTTGCGTCGGTGGAGAGGCACAGTCGTAGGGCTTGACGTTGCGTTTTTGTTGTGTCGTTTCATTACACTTTTGTTGCTTGATCGGTCGATTTGGTTGATCTGGCGAGAAGTGTGGAGGTGGAGGAGGAGGGAATCGGTACGTTAACGACGGTGGTGGTAATTGAAATGAGAACGGCATCTGTGCAGCGGCGGGCTGATGCTGCTGTGTGAGGACGGCAAGCATTGCTTGTTGCATCTGCATGAGTTGTGAGACTGTGTTGGTGAGACTATGCACGAGACCATTTGTCACCTCCAATTGTTCGGCAATGGCGTCGAACTTCGAGGTGAACCGTTCGTGAGCGCACGAGCATGGTTTCGATGATCCGGATGGTAGGTGTGGGTAGTCGGCTTGCGATGCGATCGCTGGTAGCATTTGAGTCGGCGTTGTGTACTCGGCAATCGTTCGCCTCAGCTTTTTCTGTTGCTCGATATAGATCGGACACTGTTTGGAAATCGCTTCGTGGTTGCCACCACAATTGCTGCACTTGATTATGGATGATTGGCACTCCACAGTTCGGTGCTGAGCGCCACATCGTGAGCACATTCCGTTTTCTGCCCGGCAGTATTTCATTGCATGTCCGAAGCCATTACATCTCCTGCATTGGAGCGGGATATCGTTTGGCTTTGCGGGTTCACACCTGAAGAGGCAAAAGCTGATGCGAAGACCGGTTCGCAGGAGAGTGTCTCTGTTCTTCTTATCTTTGCAGATCACCTTGACTGTCATCGTAGGTTTTCGGGATGCTGTGCTTTCCCCCGGTCGTGTGAGTCGTTCGAGTTGTTTGATCATGATTCCTTCGTTATGTAAGGCGTGTCGAAGTTCGTCTTCTTCGAAATCTAGGTCTACATTCTTCATGAAGCATACGCTCTCCGACTCGATCACTTGTCGGATGCTGGCGGGTACGTAGACTGAGGGATTTTTGTCTTTCGAAAAGCTATCTTTCGGAAAGTTATCAAGTAGCTGCTGGTAGGAGTGAATGTCGGACGGTTGGATGGTGTAGAGTTTGGCTTTTTGGTTATAGATTAGGTTATCGATCTTCACGCCGGGGAGTTTCTCTCGAAGGATGCAGTCGAGATCTCGTCGTGATGTGTTGGATAACCCTTTTACGATAACCGGAGCCACTTTGAAAGGATTGGTGGAGTGGACTGTGGCGCGGTTTGTCTCTGCTTGCAGAAATTTGACGCTTACTTTTCCTTTCGTTTTCTGTTTGGCGGTCGTTTGAGTTGGACTCTGATGGTCCATTTCGGCTTGTTTCATCTTCTCCAACTTGTGGTTCGGTAGGTTTGGCACTGTTAAGAGGTATTGGCCGCTGCTTTGATTGGTTTAAATAATAGCCAACTAAAATCTTTATAATACTAGAGATCTGTTAGAGTGATCATGTAAAGATATATTGACAGAATTTCAAAGTTTAAAATTACCTGCGTTAACTGTATGGCATATGGAGGAAGACTCGGACGAAGAAGACGAAGAAGTAAAATTTTTTAGAAAAAATTGGTATAGAATCGCTGAACAAGATGAATTTGATTAACATTTTTGGTGTCGGTAGACAGTACAAATTTGAAATCTGAATTTTTTAAATTACTTACGCCATTCTGTTTAGCGTACTCCTTGAAGAATGTGAGCGCATTTCTCATTTGTTACTTGGAATCTTCATGAGTAGTGTTCTCATCCGTAACTTCGCAAGCTAGTTTCATCGCATGTTTCAACAATGCATCACAGATTCTTAATTTCATGTGTTATAAATCGACAACAATATCTTCATAGCTAGAGAAAATTCGAGTTACAGATTGACAGTTTCTAGCCGCATTGAAAAACTTACGCGAAAACATTGTGAAACAGTGGTTTAATAAAGAGCTATTCATTATTTAAGTAGGAAGAGTACTTAAAATCTTTCTCAAACATATGTGATTCTTGTTGAATTTTTCGTTTAACTTCGTCCGATATTTTTAATAACTAATTTTTCAAGACGTTTTTAATTTTGAAAATATTGTAACATTTTTGTTGTTATTGAAATATTAAAAAGCTCATCATCTGTTGTTAACAGAAGATTTTTAAGATACTATGTAACATAGACGGGCCAATCTGTAGCTTCAATTGTGTTCACATGCAACAGAAAAATTTTTGACAAGGCATCTGCAATGACGTTTTACTTGCCGGGTTTATAAACAATTGCATAATCAAAATGTTGTAGCTGTTTGACCCATCTGATCACACGCCTAGATAAATTTTCAAAAAAAAAATCAGACGAGAGATCTGCAAATCTTCTGTGCAAACTGTCATTTTGTTTGTATGTGAAATGTTTTGTCGTTCTGTTTGATGAGGTGACATCAATAAGTATAGATCATAGTCCATTCAGTTCGATAGGTTTGTACAAAGTATTATTTTACTATTCCAAGTGGACGGACAGAAACAAAGCACTCTCTGAAATTTACATACGAGCTCTTAACTACATCCCACACTTTCCATATGTGATCATGTTCTTGTATTTACTTGCTATAGACCGCAATCTAGTATACTACTGTTGTCGGACCAAGTAGAGCATATTCTTACTCGTATATCGAATTCAAAATATAAATCGGACTGTATGCTTTTCGTTGGAGATTTTAATGCTCATTATCAACCATGGAGTAAAACTGATGTACCTTCTACGATGGCAGGTCTTCATTTAAGCAATTTCTTGGTTTCTCGCGATTTGTATCAAATAGTGTCTGGTGTTACAAGGCTTCAGTCGAATACGTGCCTTGATTGAGTCATTGCTAATAGTTTAAGTCGCGTCGAGACCTGTTATATTCAACCGACGCTGGGTCGTAGTGATCGTAGTTTCATCGCATTCACACTTAGTATAAATCAGAAATACAAACGCCGTATTGAACAAGTAATCTATGATTATAAACTTGCTGACTGGACAAAATAAATGATAATTGCGGAAACATCCCTATCAATCAACTTTTGCGGAACTATAATAATGTGAGTGAGAATGCAGAGACATTGAAACAGATCTTTTTAGAACAGGTAAACCTTTCAATTCCACATAAAAAACTTATCCTACAGTCTAGAAATAAAATTTGACTCAATGAGTATCTTCGGCATCTTTATCACCGGAAAAATATTTTTATGTCGGAAATATCGTGAAGAAACATTCACTTCTTACATGAATTATCAAAATGTGGATGAGGTGTTTTAAAGAGCTTGCTCAGCTGCGAAGGAAACATACTATACGAGAATCAACAATAAGGTGTCAGTATCTTCGAAATACTGATGGACAATTCACCATACAGTGGAACGCGGTTGTGTTTCAACCATACCCGCATTGAAGAATGTAAATGGCGACATTGTTACAAACGCACCTGATAAGGTTGATTTGTTGAATAGGCATTTCGCAAATATTTGCACATGGATCGGCTTATCCATTGACTTGAATATTGCTGACCACCACACCTACTTCTACAAGTGAATTAAATTCTTTTCAGTTTGAATTAAGAGATGTTTAATGCATATAATTTTCGCCCAAACTGTGGATGTACATACATATATCCACAAAAAGTTTATATAAGGAATACAAGTACTGAGCCGGGTGCAGGATGGGGTGGAAGTGGTCACACACTTTCCTGCTCTGAAAAAAAAAATTTTCGTCTGGCCGAGAAAATAGTTTTTATTGCAGTCTGTTGCAGAAAACAAGGGCAAAAAGAGTTTATCCAATGATAAGGAGCGAAGATTGTCCCATGTGTTCGCTGGAAAACGTTCAAAGAACAACTTTGAAATCAGTGGCCATGGACAGTTGGTTTTACTTCAATCTACAACATATTTTTATAATAAACAAACAGCGTGTTGGTTGTTAACTAAGAAAAATACTGGTTTATGATCGGATAGATTAGCGTGAGTAGTATTACTATTTTGATTAATAACTTCAAAATGCGTAAACGGGATTAAAAATGAGAAGTTTTTTTCTACACTTGCTTATGAAATATACAATATCCTCCGTAATTAGAATGAGTACATTGGTATAAGAAGGAACACGATTGAATTATTTTAAACCGATCGAGCATCTTCATCGAGAGAAATATCGCTACTTTATTCTAAGAGAAAAAAACACACTCCGCCACTCCGGACCACTGTGCGGAGTGCCGGAGCGCGGTAGAGTGTGCTTTACTCCGCGGAGTGGCTGGGCTGGCGAAGTGTGCTTTTTTACCCTTGAGAATCAGGCTATGCGCCTCATACGTTGAAGATAGACTGTTCGTGACACAGGGTGTAGACAGGCATAGGTGAGTCCGAGTCCGGACTGAAAGACTTTTCGGCGGACTCGCCTGGTGTAAGAAAACAATTTTCAACTCCTCTGGGAGGAAGCGAAAAATTTTTATTTGAAGGAGGGAGGGTAAACGATCCGCTACCAATTCAGACCTCTGAGCATCAGTAGGATTACGGTTTTTAATTGATATTTTTGATCTCACTAATACTTTCTCTATACGAACAACAACAAAAAATACATTTTATTAATAATATATTTTTCTCTTCTAGTCTTTCTCTCCCTAGTACGTCCACCTTTCCTTCTTTAGGCACGTCTCCTCACTACGTTTTGTCTTGTTCTTTTCCATACAATGTCAACTATAAATGGGCTCTTCGTCAGGTGTATGACTATGAATATATAGACATGTACTTGTCTGCCTCACAATTACATGCTATAGATCCGTCCAGTTTTTTATTTAAGTCATGATGCTAATCACACATTTGCCTTGTGGCATGGTCATTTAAATGTTATATCCAGAGAAAACGTTCCATTCAGCGTTGACGTTAAACAATTACGCGAGATAGAAATAAATTTTTTTTTGATTAGTGAAACATCCAAAGACTTTTCTATTTCAGATTTAAATTGATCTAGCAAGTCCACATAAAATTTAATGGTTCATGGACTGAGCAAATATAGACAGAAAGTTCGTGTTCGATCCACGCTTACCGTTTGATAAATTTTGTGTTTTCCTAGTCTAAGGGGAGAGGCGGCTCCCTCCTCCCTGGTTTTTTACATCAGTTTTTTGCCCATGTCGACTTAAATATATGGTGAAACTTTCAAACCTCCCAGACGCATTCTTCCCAATTTTTTTTAACTTTTTAAAGTGTACGGAAATTTAAGCGGTTTTTATTATTGAATTCAATTTTTCTCAAAGTTTTTGCGTTACACTGAGAAAAGTATTACACTTAGTACTCCACTTGGCACCTAAGGAAGAGCTTTGTCAGCAAACATTTTTCTCCATCGTGCTTTGTTGAACCACAATTTGGGCAAGGTTCTCAAAAAATACTACTGTCCGTTCGAAAGTATAAGACCGATAGTTGTTTTCTGAATAACTCAAAGACAATAAAAGGTAGAGACTTGCGGTGTCCGG